TTGAACCTTACATTTTGTACACTATTACAGTTATTACCATTCAGAATATATTGTAGTGTGATTGAAGTACATCATTGAATCGTTTGGTTATTGAAATTAGCAATATGTCTTTATATTGTCAACAATTTATTTGTCTATACCCTGGTGAATTTAAACTATACAATCGCTCAAAGCTTTTCTTATATTTCCATAAAATATCTGGATGCCAGTGCCATGAATAGAAATTTAGTCTAGAGAGGTCTATCTAGAGAATACCAAGTATTGTGAAAGCATACTTATCATTGTTACTTATGTCTATAGGGTATTGTCATGGACTGTTCTTCAATTACTGTCTTGTCATTTGTTGAGATATACATAGAAAATTGCTGTAAAGTCATTTTATCTTCAAGACATGATATGAAAGGCAACTTTATGCTGAAGTATTTAATTAAAGGTTTGGCTTTTCTCATTTTAAGAAATAGTTTTTTTAGAAGTTGTAGAAATTATAGAAATATTTGAATTGGAAAAAAATCTGCACATTAATTTGAATTTTACATTGTAAATTGATGTTATTGAATTTAAATTGCATGTTTTAAACATGTTAGCATCATTGAGAAGTGTAAATATTTGAAGTAAAGTCAAGCTCTAGGATAAGCATCAGTTATATCTATAACGAAAATTGAATATGAAACTTAAATATTGAATGCAACATAGGTTTTGACAAGTTACCAGCTCATTTTAATGTGAGAGATGCATTCATTTACTTTTAAATATTGAACAGTCAACAAAATACCCCACAAAAAAACAAATATTTAGCATCATGAAGCCAGCTATAAATCATGGTAAACTGGGGTGCCCTAGATGGTCAAGCATTTTTTATGCCCCGCCATAGCTGAGGGGGCATTAAGTTTTACCCTTGTTTGTCCGTCTATCTATCTGTACATACTTATGTACGTACGTCCCAAAATTGGTTTCCGTTCTCTAACTTTTGTTTGCCTAGACCAAAGGTTATGAAACTTATGTACAATGCTTATTACCACAGAGCACAGATCAAGTTTGAATTTTGGTGGCGTCACTTCTACCGTTCTAGAGTTATGCCCCTTCACAAGTGAAAAAAATGCTGAATTTTTCGTTTCCGTTCTCTTACTTAAGTATGCCTCAACCAAGTGTTATGAAACTTATAGACAATGCTTATGACCACAAAACTCAGATCAAGTACAAATTTGGGTAGCATCACTTTTACTACTAGTATTCTTGAGTTATGTACCTTTATAACATATATGCAAGCAGGGGCATCATCTGTGTCTCATGGACACATTCCCCATTTATTTTCATCTATAAGTGCATGTGGCACCTGTCACATTATTTAAGTCAAAAGTCATAAATGAGGAAATGTGCAGGGAATTGTGGCTACAACAAAAGGAAAATATCTGGTCATATGTGCCACAGATATTTTGTAAGGACCTACCAAATTATGACGGTGTCCATAAAACATTGGAAGAGGTAAACTCAACTTTTCCTTTAGAAGCTTTCTTGTAAGCAGCATCTCTCTTTAAAAATAATCCTGATAGGAATTACAAGGTCTGTTATATCTAATTAAAATCTCCTACATATAGGAGTGAAATGACCTGTCTTATTTCCTATCTCATACTATGTTGAAGCAGTGTTACTCCAGACAAATTGTTATAAAATCTCCATCAGGAGATAATATAATTGACAATGTTTTATAGCCTCAGTGATTATTAACCATCAGTGGTATATTGTAGAAGACTTATATTTCCGGAGGAAATAAATTTCTCATGGTAATGTGTCTATTACATCTTTGGATTTCCAATACAATTCAGCACTTTCAGGTTTTCCTATACATTTAATTATTAGGTATCGCTATAATACTATACACACCTAAAAGCGGTAGTAAATTTCTTCTTCAAACTATAATTTTACAAAGTAAACTTGATGAACTGTTGGCTGGGTAAGAATGAGAAAACAAGGTCTTACAACCAAAACCAAACATGTGTGAATCAGTTTTCTTTGAACTTGCAATGTTGAAAGATATTGTACATGTTGTAAGAAAAAGTAGGTATTGAAATAATATTTCTAAAAAAAACCAGCTCCTGTTAGGTTCCATAACCTCTGATTTACATTTGTACTAGAGTTTCACCAGAACAACTTTTGTTTCAAATCTAAATTGGTTGTCAAATGTTATGCTTTGGTTTAAAGTCTGAAATAATTGTTTCCAGATTTTCAAAGATGAAATGTTATTTATAATAGATTGATGGAACACCATCATCTTTTTTGGACATTTTTGGTTGTTGGTTTCTGAGGTTCTTGTTTCAGACCAAAGATAAATCACTTGCAATGAAACAGGCAAAACCAATTGAGAATTACTTCCATTAAATTTATTTTGAATAGCTTTTTGTTTAAATTTGACTTTTTATGATAAAATGGAAACAGATGGAGAATTAAAAAAGTAGTCAGCCATATAACAGCAAAACATAAGCTTGATTCACAAAGGACTGCTATTGTGATTTGTTTTCTATAAAGTACATGGTCTCTGTCATAGCTGGCCACTAGGTAATTAATCATTGGTCATTTCTGAGATGTGTATTGACTGACCAGTGTGTTTGATGTAAATTACAAGGTGTTGAGGGAATTGTCTGATTTACAACATCATGGCGCCAGCATAGAAATTGATTACAACAAGTAATTCCCTTTAGATGTCCTTATCTACATAGGCAGCTGGTTAAATATATACTTATACTTATCAATGCTTACGCTAAAAATATCTTGCAATGTTTTTATTGCTTAACTATGAGTAAATGATGAAAATTTAGAAACATTTAAACTCTTGGGGCCATTGTATACATGTTATGATAAAAGCCTTAAAAAGGAACTCAGTTTTTTGTGTGTGTATAAAATAGGTTATGTACTTTTGGACACAAATATGTATGGCAAAGATAGGTGAATTTATGAATATACTCCATAGAGTAGTATCTGACTGACAAAAATGCTATTTTAATGGTTTTAAAAAAATGATGTTAGTTCAATTAACCCTACGTTTATGTTGTTGTAAAAGACTTAACAACATTTCAGTTCAGCATGTTTGAGATATATGTAACTAGGAAATCTTAAATTGTCATTCATGGAAGCTTTACATAAAGTAAGTACATATTTGTTGAGCATTATGGAACTAAAAATAAGATTCCAACTTAAGAGTTAATGCATATGACACCCAGGAAATCTGACAAAAGATTTTAGATTGATTGATTGATTGATTGATTGATTGTTGCTTGCTTAACGTCTAAGGAATTTAGACATTACTGTAAAACATTAATACTTCAACATTTCGTGAGAAGATTTATAAGTTCTCTGCTTAGTACTTCAAAAGTAGAACTGAAACCTTACAAATAGATTTTGTCTTAAGCTTGCCATGTATTCTTTTTACTAAATACATATTGATTTGTATCTAATACATACAAGCTGTAAACTTGACAGTGTGAAGGCCTCAAAGCAATTCTTTTCCATTAAGTAATTTGATATTAGAGAATGGAAAGATCTGTAAATAAGAGAAGTCTATCAATTGGGGTTGATGTATACATATTGCTTTTCATGTCTACAATGAATGTATTACTGTCTTGTCAATTCTTTGGTACATGTAATTTTTTCCACAACTTTGTTCTTTTTATATATGCACAATAAGGTTATGAATGAAAGGAGACATGGGGTAGAATTGATGTTGCTTTTTTTAGAACTGATATTGGATATTTTTGCAGATCATTAGTTAAAAATACATTTTCTTTGGAATTAAATAATAAAGATGAATGAAACAGGCAGACAATTCCATTGGGTTAAGATATAGGTATGAAAAGATATCTAAAGATAAAAGGTTTATTTTTCCGTTTCAGAATCTCATTTTTTTTTTATTGTTCCTAAAATAAGAATTAAGCATCACATCATTGGTTGAATTTCAATTGTTTAGGATGTTTTTATCCAATCATTTTTTTTTTTGTGTACACCTGATAATATTAACCAGAATGCTTTGTTTTTAAGCCAGCTTTCATCAGGTGACTTAGATTTACCAAAATTCCACTTGATCAATGTTGATTTTATAAATTGACTACAGCTTGTTCTTCATGTACTGATCACAAGCACTTGTCTCAGAAAAAATTTTCCTATATACATTAAAGTATATAGGAAATTTTTTTCTGAGACAAGTGCCTGCGGTACTGATAGAGTTTATAGGAATTGACTTCATGCAAGAAAGTAAGGTACATCCTATATCAATAATATTAGGAGCTTAAAGAAGATATTCTGTTAAGTGGAATAGAAATTCAATGACTTGACTTACTAGCTTATTAAAATTCATCATAAGTTATACAGAAATACTCCTTACTTATGAGTGATTTTTATCACAAGATTTTTATGCCCTAGCCGTAGTGGTGGGGGCATTAAGTTTTACCCTTGTCCTTCTGTACGTATGTACGTCCCAAAATTGGTTTCTGTTCTCTAACTTGAGTTTTCCTCAACCAAATGTTATGAAACTTATACACAATGCTTATTACCACAAAACACAGATCAAATTTGAATTTTGGTCGTGTCACTTTAACCGTTCTAGAGTTATGCCCCTTTATAAATGGAAAAATTGCAAAATTTTTAGTTTCTGTTCTCTAACTTAAGTTTGCCTCAACCAAATGTTATGAGACTTACATACAATGCTTATTACAACAAAACTCAGATCAAGTTCAAATTTGGGTAGCATCACTTTTACCGTTCTTCAGTTATGTCCCTTTATAACTATATGATATGCAAGTGGGGGCATCATCTGTGTCCACATGTGGACACTATCCACATTTATTTAATATAATTGCCTTTATTGCAGTAAGATTTTAAAATGTAATTTAGGCTGTAGCTTCAACTTTTAGCATTTTTTACTTCAAAATATTAAAAAAATTGGAGTAAAAAATTATAGCATGAAGTAAAAGTATTTCAATGTTTCATCTATTGTAAATTTTTCTTTACAGACAGAACTGTCCCATGGATTACAGTCATTATCAGAGAAAGCCAAAGCTGGGACAGAATTTATACAAAGATTAAAAGGAATGTCAGAAAAAGTCCACGTAAGTTAAATTTCCATGGAAACATTTTGAATGGTTTGAGAGCATCTATTTAGCTAACAACATTAGTTTGACAGGGGATCTCCTCTTTTTGAGATCGAAGACAATATTTTTGAAGATAAATACCACAGTATAATTAGATATTGTCACTTTGACAAAACCAAAACCATTATTACAATGCTGAGTGCATGATATCTCTGATATAGACAGGTTTAGATTCTCAGGGGAGTTAATCTTCTCATTCTAGACAGCAGATATATAAGCAGCTAAGAAATGATTACTGTAGCTCATTTGCACTTATATTTTTGTCAGTTAAATTAATGTAATTTATAAGGAATTTAAGAAAATGCTGTCATCTGATTTTGTTCTAGACAATGGTAAATGACATCATACAAAGACATTTAGTTCAAAATAATCACATTTTTCATGTGCTATGTAAATATGTTTATCTTATTATATCTCTCCAGGACATTGCATGTTTTATCACTTTGATACAAAATTTTATGAGCTTTTTGAATGTCATAAGCTCAGGAAAATAATGGTGACTGTTGTAAACATTTAATTGCATGCATCATAGAATTGTCTCAGAGATTCAGATTTATGATGGTTGAATTCTGGCTCATCTACAATTAATGTGTTGTGCAAGTAGGTTTATAAATATTGAATTTGTGCCTCTGATACACAGTCTTATTCATTAAAAAAGACCTTGGCATCTTAATTTTTTGGAGCATGACAAATCTTGGTAATCAGAAACTAGTTATCCAAGTATTTTTTTACCCTTTTTGTTCAAGTTTATTAATATAAGATTGTTCAATAATAGAGAAAGAAAATGTCTTGGGATTCTCTTATCCATTAATCTGTAAAAATATAGGTCATTATTGGACTCGAGGACCAATTTAAAGGACAGACAAAATAATAATCAGTAGATAAACAAACTAAACAGTAAAAAGTTCACTAAAATAGAACATGCAAAACATGTTCATAAGCTTGAGTCAAACTACTCTATAAACAACTGGTTACTCCTGAATAGTAAGTTCAGTTGTGGTAAGTTTATTCAAAGATGCCTTTACTGGCAATGTTGTTAAGAAGAAAAAATGAATGCAAGACTGATTCATGATCTTGACTTTTGACCTAAATGTTGTTATTTTTGTTTTCATTTTGTCAAGGAATTGCATAGAAATCCTTGATTTCATTTGTTTAGTAGATTTCTAATGTTGGTGTATTTCCCTAAGACAACATGCCATGTACCATATTCATATGACCTTGACCTTTGACCTCTAGATGAAGATTTTGTTTTTACAAGAAGACATCAACAAGAACTTTCTTACCATTTGCAATAGACTTATGATATCTGCTAAGTATTTCCACAAGACAATATCTCTTTTGCCATGATGCCTGACCTTTTACTTTTGACCATGCCAGAATAATTTTATCATAAGTAAAGAAAATACACTTTTGATATCTGGCATGTTTGTAAAATGCTCTAGGATGAGCTGTTGTGTACTATTGTGACAAACACATATTAGTAACCTAAAAAGTTATTATTACTAGTAATAATTTGTGTTCCTTTTCTCTTAATAAAACCATGCCGTATATTGGGCTTCAATATGAATTTATGTGTTTTAATTCAGCTAATAGTTTTTAGTTTCAATTTGAAATGATTAAAATGTAAAATTCTATCAGGAATTTTGTTGTGCATTTTTCCTACTGCCTACTTACAAATTCAATTGCATCTTCTTGTTCTGATTGTTTTCCTGTAGGACATTGATTCCTGTAGGACATTGATGGAGGTTCTTTGATACAATGCCTTAAGCTGATGAACAAATTTTCGTTTAATTTCATATAATTTCATTCAAGGAAAAAGAAGTTAAAGTTTCAATTTACGCTATAAAACTGTCAAATCAAAAAAGCCAAACATCATAAAAATCTCAGAATATAATAAAAAGTTATTTGTAACAAAAGAGCTTAGCTGAGAACAAAATACTTCAAACTAAAATTGATTTCTCATTAAGAACAGCATGGATTGAAATTTTTAAGAAATGGAAGGTTGATTGTATTCTAGAAACCAATTCTTACTTGGAGAGAATTGCAATTGTAGTACAACCATTAGTGCTAATTGGTCCCCATTTCCTCAGCTCATTTACTTTAGCAGCCTTGTCAATTATACTCCTCAAATATTTGAAGGCTTCATGAATAAAAAGAACAGAGGGAAAAAAAAGAAAATCAATAATTTTTTTTCAAACAAATCTTTTTAAGCATTTTACATCAATTCATAAATAAATAATATGATTAGATATTTATAAAGACAGGAAGGGTGATCAGAGTTTGAACGAACTTTGAAGTAATGTTATACTTGTAAATACCAATCAATATATTTATAACAAATTACTTTGAAGATCATGAATTTAGAATTCATTTTAGTAGGGTTGACATCCTTAATGAGAACATTTCTTGGCGACATTTGTGGAATTGATGTTTTGGGAATTGTTCAAAAGAGATGATTGAAAGTTTTCTAATGCATTTTTCTCCTAATAAGAACAGTATTAAAACTTCATCAGTTTGAGAAAATTTGATTTTGCATAGCTCTACTACAAGTTGTAATCAAATGCCTAAGATCAATCTTTTTTTTTTACTTTATTTTACTCAAAAACACGTCAGATACAGGGTATGTTTCAAAGTACTTTAATTTTCAAAACAATCTAATTCAAAATTGGTTTAGTAAGTTTACAGTAAATCAATTTACATCTTTTTATATTTGCGGTCGTATATTGGTATGACGTTGGCATTGTCGTCGTCCAAAGACACATTGGTTTTCGCACAATAACTTTAGATTAAGTGAATGGATCTCTATAAAGTTTTACCATAAGGTTCAATACCACAAAAGGAAGGTTGGGATTGATTTTGGGGGTTATGGTACCAGCAGTTAAGAAATTAGGGGCCAAAAAGGGGCCAAAATTAAGCATTTTTCTAGTTTCCAGACAATAACTTGTGGAACAGTGTATGGATCTCTCTGAAATTATGCCACAAGTTTCCATACCACAAAGGGATGGTTAGGGTTTGCTTTGGGGGGTTATGGCTCAAACCAGTTAGGAATTGGGGGCAAAAAAGGGAGAAAAACAAGGGTGTCCTGGTTATATTAATGGACAAATACTTTAGTACAAAACATAATTTAAAGCAGTGTAAGGGAGGTAATTCAAATACATCATTTGAATTACCTCCCTTACACTGCTTTAAAATTATGTATTAAGTAATGGTTAATGAACAATTAAAAGCAGTGTAAGGGAGGTAATCCAAATACTTCGTATTTAATACGCAACAGCATAGTGTATTGCACAAAAGCAAAAAAAAAAGGGGGGTTAATTTTTTATTTTTTTTTGTGGGGGGAGGGGGGGGGGGGGGGGGTCAATTCGCAACAGCAAAGTGTATTGCACAAAAGCAAAAAATTGAATATAAATTCAAATCATATAATCAATTCTAAGTTCTTTGACTACAGTTAAATCTTTTATGTGTCAAATATTTAATTACAATCCAAATTCAGACCTGTATCAAGCGCGAATATTGCGTCCATTTTTGCCCCAACTGTTCAGGGTTGGACCTCTGCGGTCGTATCCAGCTGCGCTCAGCGAAGCAATTTATTGAATATATTTTATGTAAACAGGTATTCTTCTTTCAAATTCTGGACAGAAATTTTAATAAACAGTCTATTTTTTTTTATTTTATGACCCTTAATTTATATTGCTGAATTATGTTCATATTGTTTTCCATTTGCTATGTCTGATTATTCTTCCAGTCTTCAGGCTTAACCACAGGCCCAGCAGCCCAGGCTTAACCACAGGCCCAGCAGCCCAGGCTTGTAAAATTGTTTTCGAGCCTGTAAAAATCATCTCTACAGGCCAACAGAATTTAACTAAAATTTTCCAAAAAAAATTTAGCTCCTTGCCTGTAGATTTAAAAGTTTATCGTGAAAACTGTTCTGATAAATATAGAATTTTAAAACTATCTATCTTAATTGGCACAAAAATAAGGCTGGTAGTTTTGATCTCAGATTTTGAAATCAACAAATTTCTGTTTCGCATACTGGCATACTAGACTAATTGTGATGATTTTTTGAAATTCTTTGTGAATATCCCTGTTAAGCTTTATTTAAAGATAAATCTGTTGATGAATTATAAGAGTTCAAAGTCCCAGTTTTATTAATAATGATGGGTTAAAGCCCTGAAAATTGCACTTTCATTCACATTTACTGTAATTTTTTTGATTTTTCATCCAATTTTGATTTGATTTCCTTTATTTGATCTACCATATCTACATTCAAACCCCTCTATTTAAAGTATTATTTGAAATGAATTTATCATCATAACAGTAGTCAAATCAGAGAACATCAAGAAAGAGATTGTTGAAAAGAAATCTTTTTAAAACATTGAATGACTTCAATAAGTCATGACATCTTTGTGTTTGATAGAATTAACATACCAGCAAAACAACATAGAAAAACCCAAAATCATGACATTTTGCATGCATCTTTCAATTACACTGAAAAAACAGTAATAACAGACCCATGTACAATGTATTTTTATATTCACATTATGAATCACAGTTACCCATTGTGGCTTTAACAATAGAAGTAAGAAGCAGAACATTAGAATAGTTCCTACTTTAAACACGCTATTCAACTCAAAACATTAATGGCAAATATGGAAAAATTGATAAGTAATGAGCCCTTTCCTGCAAAATGGCTATAAATCTCTCATCTGCCAATAGTGGGCTGCACAATTTTCCAAAAATCAGTGGTGGAAATTGTTTATCTGGAATCGCCATTAAAAAGCCATCTTTCATTTCATCTCTGATTGTGAAGACAAGTAAATGAATAAAATGTACATTTACACCCAGTATAGAGACTTTATCTTAACAATGAATAGACAAATTTAATTATAACAACTCTGATAAAACACAAAAGTAAAATCTTCATCACTCAGATGATTCAGATTTGTGGAGTCTAACAG